GGTAGTTTAGTAAACGTAACTGTTCTTTGAAGTATTATAAAGCTCAACTATGATCAGCAACCTCAGTGGCACTTAATATCAAGTATTTTGTAATATATTTTTCGAATGAAGAATATAAGGAAAGCGACAACTTTCACACCTTAGCCATACAGTTGTTTTAACATAAAAACTCCAAATCTCCTCCACTCGAAAAAAAAAAAAAAAACAAGAAGAAGAGGGAATCCACAATAGCTGTGGCATGTGAAATTATTTTAGGCAGGATGAGAGTAAATTAATCTATGAGACATATTCTTCCTTTTTATTAGCTATATTTTATGCTCCAGCAATACCAAGTGTGGGGCGCGCTTATACCCGATTCAATTTTATTACTCATCAGGATCTTTACTAGCTTACCCTGAAATTGAAATTCTTTAGGTAGGATTAGAGTAAATTAATTTATGAGACTTTGGGAATGGTTAAATATATCAATCTAAAGGATTTGACCTCTTGAGTCCAAAACTGTAATTAGATCTCAAATTGATCAAAAGATGACGGAGCTATGAGCTAAAGGTTTGTACTTGAGAAAACAATAAAAAACACAGAGTCGTTTTATGAGCCGCTATGTTTCTATGAGTATTATTACACCATAACGTCTCGTAGTTTGTAGAAAGTTCTAGGCCTCAGTCGAGCAATATACATAGACGATCAAGGTAGTGAAAGTAAAAGTGAAAATAGTGAAGTTAGACTACGTGTGAACTAGTTGTAACTGGTGATTTCTAAAGTGAGTATCACAGCCTTGTATTGTAATAACAGAGTATAGGAGAATAATATGTCTTGTTAAAAGGTGTTCTGAAGTAATTGAACCCGCCTGTGTGTATTTTGGTGAAAAAGAGAAAATTATTTAAAGCTCTGAATACAAATGTGATAACCAATAGTAGAAAGAATTTTTGTGCATAAGTTTCACGTATTATTTTAAAACAAGTACATTGTGTGCTGTCCGTTTATTGTTGAAATTTATCTCCAACAAATCACAGACACCTACTGTAAAGAATCGCGGCCTTATAAAACCTGACAGACAAAAAAGTTAATCCTTAAACATAGGAATCTAATGAACCCATGTAGATAAAATTGTAGTACTGCATGTCCACAGGCAACAGGTACATGTTAAAGTACACCAAATAAAATCTAAAGTTATGACAGATTCGCTGTGAAATGTACAGAATAATTTGGTAAGTTTGTGAACAATCTTAACGTCATGGGATTTGTGTAAAAATAATTTCTTAGTGTACTTTGTCACTTCTTAGAGTTATGTTACACATTTGTTTTAAAGTGACGTTTGAAAGTTGCTGACTAGTATCACGATTTTCGTTCTCTGTAATCAATGTGTTGATTTTGACTGGTCTTTAAGCCAATTCTTGCATATATTTTGTTGCAACGACAGACGAGTGTATTATCTAAAAAATCATTTATCAAAACGCTTATTTTCAAGAATACATTACAGGAAAATTATTCATTTTTGCAATTCACTAGTTTCATATGGATATTAATATCGAGCCATCAGTCTTCGTATGTACTGAACAGTCAGTATGAGAAGAAAAAACTTATTAAAAACAAAAACGTTTCTTTTTCTGAAGAAATTCACGAAAAAATGGGACTTCCTCCGTTGACTGAATGAAAGAGGGTGTTGGCCCAGCATGGCCAGGTGGTTAAGGCACTCGACTCGTAATCTGAGGGTCTCGGGTTCGAATCCCCATCACACCAAACATGCTTGCCCTTTCAGCCGTGGAGGTGTTATAATGTTATAGTCAATCCCACTATTCGTTGGTAAAAGAGTAGCCCAAGAGTTGGCGGTGGGTGGTGATGACTAGCTGCCTTCCCTCTAGTCTTACACTGCTAAATTAGGGACGGCTAGCGCAGATAGCACTCGTGTAGCTTTGCGCGAAATTCAAAAACAAACAAACAAACTGAATGAAAGAAATATTTCGAAGATAGGAGCATGAATGAATAAAACCACATAAAGAGAGGAGCGTGTTTGAGTATATATTTGTTGTTTTTCGGTTTATATACTTTTTTATTAGATTTTTTATGTCGGTATTATATACATGCATAATTTTATTGCATTATGTCGAATCAATTGAATTGAATATTTCCCCTTTGACACTTCTTATGGAAGTAATATCTGTCAAAAAGAGTTCACTTCTGTAGTGGTCTTGCTTTGCGCTCAGTAAAATGACAAGGAACGGTAGCATCCAGCGTAAAAATTTCCCGCGGCTATTTAGCGAAGCTAATTGCATTAGTGTACTGTATCCACCCTTTACATCGAAAAACTAAGATTTTTGCCAACAATGCATTGTTCAGTCTCCTATTCTTAAAAACAAACGCAGTATAATTTTCTTTTTAGAAATACTGCATAGAATGATAATAAAAAAATAGTTGTAAACCAGCCCATAGACAATCATATTTCACATACGCTCTGATACAAGACACTGGGTTAACTGCACATTTTATGTTTATTCATCACTATTTCTAGGGAAATTACCGTTGAATTATTTCAACGGTTATCTTCTAGTTACGCAATAATAAGCAATTTGTATCAAAATAACTATTTTTATTCTCAATGTGGAACAACAAAAATACATCATGAGTTAAGTCTATATTGTTGTTTATGTTCGTATGTCGCAAAGCTACACAATGGGATATACATGTTCTACAAACCGTGAGTATCGAAGCCCGATATTTTACGTATTATAAGCTCTCGGGCTTACCGCTGAACCATTGACTGTTTAAGAAATGTTACGTATTAGAATTTCAAATAGCCTGAAATTGAGTTAACTGATCAATTTAAATTTCGTAGTTAAATTGTACTTCGGATTTAGTAGTTAAGTAAAAGCCGATATATAAACAGTTTATGATATTTGTCAACAAGATTGATACACACGGTTTTCTTTTTCAACACAAATACGTTTTAATATACACACAACAGTACAATTTACAATAATAATTATTACAAATAGTTACAACAAACAATGATTTATAAACAGAAGTTTCACAAACTTACAAGCAATATAATGTCTTTCTTTCTAGTCTGGAACTTCCTTGATATCTTATCGAGGTTCACAATGAGCCAGTTAATTTCGAGTTGATTTAGGCACAATTCACGTAACAGGAAGCTAGCTAGCCCTGTAGTCTTCCCTGTTCATACTCCTATTAGAGATTGAATTTCCACCGATGACGTTGGGTAATGATTTCGTAAAAGTATTAATGTCCAATGTGAATCCACTGAAGTTAAATGGTTTGTAATGTTCGAAATTTATAAATATTCCTGGTCAAACATCTGAAGTTTTCCGATTGATAAGTGTTATAACAATGACAGTTATAGCTTCCGAAGTTTATAGCACACTGATTATAGCGAACTAATAATAGATACTCTCTTTTTCAGCGCGTCGCGTTGGTTATATTTATAGGCGTGTAGAGGCATTCTAGAAATTTATGTTTTACGTAACAATACTGAGATACATTTAAGCG